CATGCAAAGATCAGTGTTTGCACTTTGTTCAGAGGACACAGCAGCTGAGGCGCTTTGCACAGCTGCTACCTGAAAAATCCGACCCCACAACAAATGGTGCTGTAGGAGAAAGCTCCATTATCAAAACTTTATTCCAGCACTGAACGCTCAGCAGTGTGTCTGACTAAGCAGCCAGTTTGCTGCTAGGTAAGCAAAGAATTTCTGATCCTGTTTGTACAGTGCTGAACTCTAGCACACAAGAGGGTGAACTGTGAATACTGTGAAACTCAATTGATTAAATCACTGACTGTTTTTAGTAATAGCATTTCTGTTAAGAGAAAGTGCTTCCATTTACTCAACTGTTTATCCAGCCTAAGCTGAAGTGGGAAAACGCATCCTGCATGGAGAAAAACAAACATATATGGCCTAACCAGCCTGCTTCTTTTTGGAGAGAAGTCTTTATGTTTAACAGATGAAAAATCCTTTTGGAATATTCAATATTTAATATCTGCTACTTAGTCTGAGGCTTGCTTTTGTCATATTTAAAAGGAAAGGAAAATAACATGTCATTTTCGAAGGCCTAGAACAGTAATACTGCACTCAGTACAGATAGCAGTTAATAATAAGAAATTCTATTCAGATTTTTCTCCATTTCCTCCAGTATTGGTTTTATCAGTCTGAGAATCCTGGTGAGGTTTTGCTTGGCCTGGTATTGGCAGAGCATGCTCCTCAGCTGCCTCAGCACTGAGTTGTGTGGATGGGAAGGACACATTTCAGCCTGCAGACTCTTCAAAGCATCTGATACAGTTGCATTTGTTTATGTTGTCTCTAAAATTCAAGATTCAGCAATTAAACTGGGATCCCTCACATTGTGAATGAGACCCAGGATGAGATAGTTAAGAAAAATGAGTATCTAATTATTCCTGCTAGCAAGGAACAAGTCCAGAGAAGAACAACTAGCGTTACCTTGGTAATGGATGCTATCACGTACACAGGTGCTTCACTTTTGCTCAGGTTCCCAAAAGTGGAGGTTGAAAAAGGATAAAAATTCCTCCTCCTACCTACGCTACCTAAGGGACAAGTGTCAGAGAAGGAATGGCTTTTGAAATAACAGAGAACGCTGCTGCAAGGATAAATCCAGAACACCATGAAAAAGATCAGACACCTTACATCCCACCATGGACTTCTGGACAGCCTCAGCATCTTTTCCAGTTGTGTTCCCAGCCCAAAGCCACGCAGTTTCCTCATGCCAATCAGATAGTTTGGCACTGACACATTGACCAGCCAGACTCAGATCCTCATTGAGAATTACCTCCAACTTATCACTGCTGCCACTTCCACCGCTGAAAGAACACTGCAGGAAAAAAAGAGAAATTACAGGTGTGCATGAGTCAAAAGTGGTGATTTTTTCAGCTTGACAGCAGCACTGCACTATGTGGGGAACAAAGACATGCATAAGCTAGATCTCATTGGAGTAGAGCACCCAGCTTTGAATGCTGTGCCCTAAGCCTGCTTCACACAGCTTACAGCCAGAAAGCCAGTCAGAGCAAGTGCCTGTTCAGAAATCAACGTGCAGGGAGAGAATGGAGAAACAGAGGTGGCTGCCCTGACAGAGACCACAAAATCTGTCAGTACTTTCAACTAAATATTAACAGCTCCAAAAGGAAATGGAAACGCCTTTTTCCCATTCGTCGCCCATTTGAAAAGAAAGGGAAGATTCAGGCCAGACAATGTGACGAGCGAGGACAGCAAGGTAACGGAACAAATGGTTGGGGAGCAGAAATTCCATTATCAGGGACCTCCAAGAGCAGCCCACACAAACATCTGCTCGGAACACAGAAGAACACTGTGCTGACCCTGCCCTGAATGGAATTACACACCAGCTCACTCTCCATACTTGCCAGTCAAGGTCTGATTTTTTCATGTTCCATCATTATTTGTTTTACTGTCACGTCTATCAAGTCCAACCTCTGACTCACGCCAGGTCCTGGAGCAGAATAAACATGTGAGAGAAATTCCACAAGAGGCACGAGAATGTAACACAAGAGATAACAGCAGAATAGACAGGTAGGAATATCCAAGGAAGCAGCAAGGCAGCACTGAGCAGTCCCAGCTGCATGGAAGGAGATAACCAAGGACGTCTGCGATCCTTACAGGAAAGTCAAGGTTGCTTAGGAGAAGAGGCTGCTTGTGTGATATTCTTCCTCATATGAAAATAATGATCTTAAATGCAACAAGCAGAGAACAGAGGCTGGCACGCTGCAATGTGGGACAAGAAAGGGCTGCTCTATCAAACCACTACCCTGCACAACACCACCCTGCGTGGAGTAAATATGTCGTGTTAGGGAAAACAACGTTGGAAGGAGTGATTAATTAGACAGTGAAACATTGCAGAAGTTTTACATGTGCAGATGGCCAAGGAATTCATCTCTAAAATCTCACATAGAAATATGGAAGTCTAGACAACCCTAGGAAGGATTAGAGAGTCTTATTTCAGACGATGCCTGATTTGAATTTGCGTGATAAGCAAATAAGGCTGTTTCATCTGCTGCGCCTGAGACAGTGATGAAGGAGGACTGGCAGAGGAAGATGAGAATCTCTGCTTTAATTACGTGATGCATGAGCTGATGCTTCATTTACACAGACAACATGAGATTTTAACTTCTGACAAAAAACAGAGCTAGGGGACACCAGAACTGCTGGTAAGACCATTGGTTTCATGCTCATGCAAAAGTGAGGGACGTGAGATGAACGATTCTGGTCTTCCATCACCTACAGAAAACCTTAAGAGACAAACCTGACATGGTCAAGAAAGAAGTAGGAAGGTGCAGAAAAAAACCTGGTGACAAACCAGTCATAGAACCATTGGAAAACAGGTCTAAGGACATGGCTGCTTGTGGCAGAAGCAAGATGACCAAGGAAACTGCTGCTTCTTGGCTCTCATACTGGTGAGTAAACTTCTTGTTTTTTTCTTGGCTTTGCACTCAGTTGCACACTGCAGACTGACAGGTGTGGATTCAAGAAAAGCAGACAGCATAGCCCTTGCTGCTCTGAGATAAAGTGCATTTTTTGACTTGAACATCACTACAGTCAAGCTGTGAATCACAGCCTCAAATGATTCATCAGAAACATCATCTGCAAATGGGTAATACAAGATCATCTGTCTCAAGACAGACTGGATGACCAACTCAGCTCACCAAGTTAGCAATGCATTGCATGTTAATGCCCAACATTCAGCAGGTTTGCCCACAGGAAGCACACTTTCCTGTATTCCACTGGATTGTGTCCACCTCCAATTCGATAAGGGGCTGAGGCACCACAGAAGCATCCAGTAGGAAATGGGGTGCATGGCAGTAAGTTTTAAAATGCAGTGCATCCTTCTGGAGGGCTGAGGACAAGACAATCGTATCAGCATTTATATATTCCTACACAATTACAGCAGAATCTTTTGTTCGGATCGCAGAACTCAGCTGTGTCAATTGAATCGCTCTGATTGAACTAATTGAATCTCAATTGCTCAAGTCTGGTTTCGAACAGTTTTGTATGACATTCAAAAGACTGAAGACTTCATTTATAAATGGAAGCGTGTGTGGGGAGGGACAACGAATGATTTGGCTGTTACCCAAAAGCTAACAAACGTGTAATATATTTCACTGGAGAAGCATACTGAGGTTTATCTTCCTGTGAAGGCCTCCATTTCAGTGCTCCCTGGGTTAGGGTACCTTTGGAAGGAGGTAGGGATCCTCACCCCAGCACTGACTGCAGTAAAAGTGCACATTACTTGCCCAAGTCCTGCCTCACCCCTGTAGCTACTCTGCTTCAGCACTCGAAACACAGTTGAATTACAGCTTTAGAGGACACACAGTGCATACTCCCCATAAAACTGCTTTTGCTGATTGCAGACTCCACGTGCACCATAGGAAAAATGCCAGCGTGACCACCAGAAATTCTCAAATATTTCCAGAAAAACATATGTTTAATTAAGCTTTATTTAAATGCCAGGCTAGATCTCATGGCTGATGTCTATCAGCAGCTTCTGTGCAAATCTGTTGATTGCTCTTTATCCTCACTGCAGGAATGGAACTGCAAGCAGCTCACAAGCCAAAATCAAAATGCTCATGAGGTCAATGGCAACGATTCCATCAACAATGCAAGCCAGGCCACCACACCTGGTACCTGTTCAGCCTTCTCCACTACACCAATTTATTCTACTTATTCCAGTACAATACTTCCCCCTTAAAGGCATTCCTGGTGCAGATCAATATACAGTATAAGAATCCTGCCCTGTAGGTTTCTAAAAACACCCTTCTACTTCAAAATTAACTCTGTTTTGATAAGGTCTGGGCTGAAGAGTTTACTTCCTTCCCTTTCACTCTCCCTTTGAACAAAGGCAACACCCACATATTCTAGCATAAGTCTTCAATCTGTTGAATTTTCATTTTCTTCCCAAATGTCCTAAGAGCAGCTGCATCTACTTCTGTAACTGGGCAAGAAAATGGCAGAAGGCACACGGAATATGCAGAGCCCAGCCTGCACCTCCAAGCAGCACCAGGCACTTTCAGATGGATAGGAAGTTTGTGGTCTGCTCACATTTGGGTATATATATATAATATATATCCAGGTTTCCCACGTGCTGTGCAGATCACTTACCTCAATTTACTCATTGTTAAAACAGACTCAGTTCTTCCTCCTACTTTGTCCATCTCACGGGTGTTACTCAGTTATCAATCCATTGGTCACATCTCCCTCAACATTTTGAACCACTAAAAACTGCAAATCCTGTGTTACTCAGGGAGCTGGGTAAAACAAGAGTTTCATATCCCATCCCCACCTGTGATTTACCCTGGAGTTTAACTGCTGAATTATTTAACTAAGCAAAAAAAGCAGTGGGCACACGTCACACTACTCTACACATCAGCCAAAAAACCCAACCAAACAAAACTCAAACACACTAAAAGACACTCAAAACCTGCTCTAGCTTTTGGTCAGCCCTAAGGTGTAACGCAAATGGACACGGTTACCTTTGTAGGCCCCTTCCAATTGAACCAGTCTATTTGCTAACCTCTGGAGGCTGTGAATATCTGACTGTTGAGGAGAGAGAAGAGTCAGCTCTGAGGTGAACAAACCTTTTGTAACATCTGAAATAGTATTTTTCATTTTAAAACTAGAACTATTTTTACTTCATAGGCTTTAAATGGAGATTTTAATTTTTAAAACAATCAGTTCTCACCCTGCTTATCATATTGGAAAAAGGCTCAAAGATGCCATGGGAAAAGGACTGAACCATTCTCAGGCTTGAGATTTTTGTTATTAGAACCGAAACAACCTCCACAATCTTCAAGCAAACTGAGATTCTTAGTATTTAATGGCATTTCCAAGAGCACCATGTGACTGTCGTTCCATAAATTGATAGCCACCTATGACAAAGACAATATGCAATACAGCTTTCACAAAAGGTGACTTTATTAGTGCTGAGCCCCAGGGTACACATCTATACGTGCTGGACACACAAGCCACGGAACTACACTACTTACTGTCACTCAGGTTGCAGTCAGCAGGTGCTTGGGTCGAGCACAGAGTCTCTTACTGCACAAGGAGAAACCCTGCAGTGTTATTTTAGGACTCATCTTTGTGCCTGGATTTAAGCCTGTGGAACTCGTACCATCAGTCAGCAGGGACAATGAGGAATGATTACAGCATGTTTTTGTAAATTAGCTAACAACCTTCGAGACCTCAGGATGCAGGAACTTGTGATTCCCTCTTTAATCTCTTTCTTGAATCGAGCCATAAACACTGTTGCTAAAGAATGCCAAACAAACTTGAGGGAGGCAGGAGGACTAAGGAGATGGAATTGACAGAAACGAAATCAAAGACAAGTAAAAGGCTGAAAAAGAGCAAGAAACCCTTTGAAGAGGATAAGGAAGGCAAAGAAATTAGAAACACTGCGTGTGTATGTATTTATGGTTGTATTACACTTGGAACAGCTAGGAAGGAAGCTAAGTGTTCTCTCAAATAGGACAAAATGCACAGGTGACATGTTAGGAGATGCTAACGCAGATGTTGGGGCAATGCAGTTAAGCAGATTGCTCTGACAGTAAGTATCAGAGTCCCTGAATTCTAGGAAATTCTGCTGTCTTTGATGTGAGACTGATGTAAGACTTTGGGGAATCCACTTCAATTTCAAATGCAAATTGCATTTGTCGAGTGCTAGAGAAGTGAGTTCTGATGGTGCACATTAGTGACAGAATGTAACATTTTGTGGTTAGTATTTCAAAATCCCCCTCACTCTCCAGTGAAAGCTCGTCCTCACTTGGTCCAGCCATTAAGAGAAAGAAGCCAGGCTCCAGCAGAACATTCCTTCCCATTCTCCTTGTCCCAACGCTTCAAGAGCTCCACGCTCCAAATTCCACTCTGGGTCAAGTCTGAAATGTGTCACTCAGCATAAATGGAAACAAACACCAAACCACAGGTCAGATGCTTCAGATATTGCAGAATGACAGAAAGTTCTATCACAGCAAGAAGTTTTAAACCTCATTTAATAGGACACTCACTGAAACATATGCATTTATTACAGAAATAAAACCTCACATGCTGAAAATGTTAAAACTGAAGGTGTTCAAGTCTTTGGTTTTTCCTTGCCTGAATTTGACAGGTTTTACTCATCACCAGATTAATTCAATCCCTCTGTATCACTACTCTTTTACTATTTTTTTTTTTACAGAGAACACAAAACAAAACTCTGCCACTTCCAATTCCAGAGTTTTTCCTCAGCCTGAACACCTCAGGAAACCCTATGATGGTTCTATGCCAGTTTGAAACCTAGCAGAAACCTCTCCACTCCCATACAGCAGCCTGGAGCTGGCACTGCTGCGGCCATCGTTATCACTGCCACTCGAGCAGCAGAGCACGGGCCACGACAGGCTTTTTTAGCACTGGCACAGGGCACTGCAGCAGCTGCACTGCTAATTACACCAGCCCCTGTGCCCCATGAATCACATTCCTCTTCGAGTCCCCTGCCCAAGAACTGTCCTCACTTTCATCTTCGCTACTTAAACTGTCAGACTGAAAAGCTCTCATACCCACTGGAGCAAGTTTTGCACAGTACTCTCTTTCTACCATAGATGCTTCTTATTTTGACTCTAAGAAAGAAATACTCTGTGTTGGTCTGGGATACTTGTGCTAAATTAAAACCTAACGATTCTGTGAAGCATAAAAACTACATTTCCTTTTTTCCTCCCACTGGATAGAGTAGAACTTTTCAAATGCTCCTGAAGTTTTCATAAAGCCCCAGCAGAACAGCAAGGCTCCTTTGGCTCCAATTGCACTCACAGTCCTGGTGTGCAGGCCTCGTAAATACCAGCATCATGATCTTCGTGCTTTAGGTTACCCAAATGGCTGCTGTAAAAAAAATGAAACAAAAACTTTGTTTATTCCAAAGTACACAGCTCAGGTAAGAAAACTGGATTTTCTACTTTCAGGAGAATTCTCCAGATCTCTTGTCATCTTCAGGAACTTCCTGCAGACTCTTTGATAAACTTCAGTGTAAACTGTTTCACTTCATTTTCTACTGAAGTTACAAAATGTATTTTCTTTGAATACTTCAACTTCTTAAACTCTCTGTACCATGAATTGTCCTTTTCTCCTCACCTCTGATTTTGTTTAATCCCACCACACTACAGCTGAGTTCATCAGGTTTTGCAAAGGAGTTCTGTCACAGTTTTGCAAGAATCTGAGGCTCTTTTCCTGCTGCTGTGTTAATCCACACACAGCTCTTTGCCTGCCTAGAAATATACATTCTCTATTCCTCCTCACACAGGTCTAACAAGTCACTGCATTTTGATTTTTCACAAGCCTGAGGAAAGCTGCACAGCCTGCTCATTTGACTCAGAGCCAGGCTATTCCTTCACTTCACATACACATATTTTCCCCTTCCAAATAATTCTGAAAGTCTGTCTAATGCTTTCAGTTTACAACATCAACTAATTCCTGAGGTGTTACGGGAGTTTTGAAGTTGGTCAAGCACAGGACAGCTTTCAAAAGGAAGACAGCAGCCATACAACAGCTGAATGCTTATTTACAAAATCAGTGGCACGTGCACAGGAAGGGGAACCGCTGCCCTCCACAGTTATTTATTGAGCCCTGCACAGGGATCTTTCTCACAGCAAGCTAAGCATCAAAGCCACCAACAAAAGCACTTATCTGTAATAATATCAGCCTATCTTCCTAACAAAATGTTCAATGCTTCAGAATTGAAACAAAGAACAGCTTGGTCACCTGTCAAATGCTGAAGGATACACTTAAATACTCTTAAGCACTGTCACAAGAAGAAGGACAACACACAGTTCATCTGCTGCTAAATACACCCCCAAAACTCAGCTAAGCCTTCTCTGATAAGCAGGCAGTAACAACAGCTGGTTTGCCCAAGAAGGAAAAAAACCAACACATGTAGCAACCAGAGACTGGGGACAAACGGCTGCAGAAAGTGGTTTTAAAAACCAGTGCCAAAGTTATGGAAGGAGGCAGGCTGAAGGGTAATTGTTGATGAGGCTATTGCTGCAAACAGCAAAAATGGGTGACTTTTGATTTCTTTCCTCATTTTGCTAAACATGATGAATTTCCAGGCTCTGCTGGTATGCCAGATCCTGTGCAAATAAAGGGGAGATAATGCTGTACGCTGAGCAATTGGGGAACAAAACTAGTTTTGAGACATACCCAGAAGTCTCTCAGTTGGGCACCTTAAAACAACTACTTCCCATTAAGTACATCACTTTACTTTTTTTTTTAGTTCTTTTCTCCTACTTGAAACAGGGTTTGAAGACAGAACGTTGTGACAAACGTGCAGCACCTGCAAATGATAAGTGCAGAAATCACCACCAATCACTCATGTGCCAGGAGTTACACAGTCACAGATGTCAGCACTGAGAGATACTTTGTTTTAATATAATTCTCCCTTGAGTTAGGCAAGCTAAAAAAGGCAAATAATAGGAGACAAAAACCCTTCTGGGTCTTAGCTTCACTTTGCTTGCACCTCACTAACCACTATGAGGAGAGATTTAACTAACTGAACGAGCAACAGAAGGCACAAAACCAACACCCAAGCCTCTTACAATGGCAGCCAGCCTTGATGCCCCTGCAACCAACACCTTGAGGTCTTCATTTGCTTTTTCTATCTAAAGCACTCCCATACTGAGGGTCTCAAAGCATAAATCTGCGTTGTCAAAACACACAGATTGTTTTCCAAAGCTTGTTTTTGCCCCTTTTTTCCTCAGAACTCCTGGATACCAGTGATCAATGTTGTTCTCATTTCCTGCTCGTGACCAACCTTCACTGGAAGGATGGAGAAGTGAGGGCAGGAAGAGGGACAATTCACAAACAGAATTTTCTCTTTCCAGTTTCTGTATTTACATGCACAGAAATGACTGAGGAAGATGTTACACAAAACATGAAGGAATGCATTGTACAGATGCAGCAGGGACAAGCCAGATACCAGCAGGTCCACAAAGGAGTATTATAAGACAGAAAACAATCAGCAGCTCATTTCAGCAAACGCTCAACTACTCAGTAAGTTTACAGACATGGGAAATCCCCCTGCTGCTTCTCATATAAAACTTATGCTGAAGTAAAGCTGTAGCACTTCACATTAAAAAGAGAAAAGGGGGAGAGATGTGCACAGCAAAATAAGAATTTGGGATGAAATCACCTAATTGCAGTCAGGCTAAATAGCTTTTCAATGTTAGATCAGAAAATACCTAAAAGATGATCATAAAGAAGCTTGTAAAAATGTAACTCAATAAAGCCTTAGCATCTTCCACAGTGAGTGCCTTTAGCATTCCAGATTTGGGCCAAAGATCCTGACACACAATCAGCTTCTACGTGCAAACCTGTACTTAGAATTTGTTGGTCTCATAATTAACAACAGATGACTTTCAGCACTGAAGGAACTGGATACATATGTGAAACACATTCAAAAATCAAACATCAACTGCACTGATTACTCACAGCATCGACTTCTCTGTACTCAAACGTAGAAAACCAGAAGGTACAGACAAGAACAGGGTATCTTCATCTTCCAGCAGGACACTGACCACGGCTCCCCACGACCACTTCCCACCATGGTGAGCTGAGCTCAGCCCAGCACTGCTGCCCAGCTCCATAGGGACTCTGACAAGACAGGATTCCATAGGTTTGTCAGCACACAGCATTTCCAATCAGTGACATCTACAACACAGAGAGGCAACTGTTTCCTTCATTGAAAGGCACAATAATTCCCCCATTAAGACTTACCATTCCCGCATCAAGACGTAACAGATTTTTTCCTCTATTTCCAAAACAGCAAACCTGAGTCTTTATGGCACAATCATATCAATTTCTAAGCTAATTAATTTTTCTCATGCCCTAAATCTAACAGTCAAACCAGTGACCGGGCATTGTTTGCTTTTAAGAAAAGCTGCACTCTGCACAGTTACTCAAAATGCACACACTGTTTCGAGAGGACACTTCAATATCTGATCTCCAGAGTATTTCCATGCATTTTTAGTTCTCCCAACTATTTTAAGTCTTCTAAAATCCTTGCAACACAAGCAGCACATGCTTGCATGGGGCAGAGAGAAAGAATCAACATTTAAACTTTTCCTTTTGGCTTTGAACTTCGAATAAATTTCTCCCTGTGTTTTGGAGGGGAGCAGTTCATAATTTTAAAGAACACATTCTTATTTTCCAGAAAAAGCAAAAGAATAATTAAAAAAAAAAAAAAACTCTAGATCCTCAGAAACTTATTTTTTCCCATGGTGATAATTGACAGCTATTGTTCCAATCAGAAAGGTCAGCACGGTGGACCAGCAGTACAGGAGCATAACAGCAAAGAGAGCAGCACAGATGGAAAGGTGCTCACCCATCTCTGAGGATCTAGGCTCACAAGACAGACTCCGTAAGGGAGGGATCCCCAACCAGAGATCCTGGCCCAGTGGCAGTCAGTCCTTAAATGAGGCCTAAGAGAGGTGCAGCCAGGCTCCACCCCTTCCTGTCTCACAGTTGAATTGCCTTCACCTGTGCTCCAGGGCTGACCAGTCCTTTCCCCAGCTGCTCAATCGGTGCTTCAGGCCAGGACTCAATGGTTATCACACACTTATAGATGCTCTACTTTTCCAAGATCTTCACCTGTGCCATTAAACCACATTCCAGACCGAGACCTCCTTGGTGAAACTTCAACCTAGGGATCACCTTTGTTCATGCCTGTAAAGAAGAATTTAAAACAGAAGTAAAATAAAATTCACCATAAGCCAGAAGTTTGAAAACTGCCAAGTTTACATCCTAAAACACTGCTTAGTAACTTTTAGCACACTGAAACCAATGTTATCAAACAGTAAATAAAACAACTCATCCATGCTGCAGAGAAAGCAGAAATCCAATGTCTCTAACAGCTAAACTATGGAGAGACTTGTACTGTAGAATCACAGAATGGCCTCGGTTGCAAAGGAGCACAGTGCTCACCCAGTTTCAACCCCCTGCTGTATGCAGGGTCACCAACCAGCAGCCCAGGCTGCCCAGAGCCACATCCAGCCTGGCCTTAAATACCTCTGGGGATGGGGCATCCACAGCCTCCTTGGGCAACCTGTTCCAGTGCCTTACCACCCTCTGGGTGAAAAACTTCCTCCAAATATCCAACCTAAACCTCCCCTGTCTCAGTTATGTCATAGAACTGAGCTCAGGTTGGAAGGAACCTTAAAGATCATCCATTTCCAACCCCTGGTGACCCCATCAGATCAGGCTGCCCAGGGCCCCATTCAGCACAGCCTTGGGCACTGCAGGGATGGGGCACCCACAGCTCTCTGCTCAGCATGCACCAGCCTGACCTCACCGTCATCTGAAAGAAGAATTGCTTCCCACTTAACTTAACTTAAGTCTCCCCTCTTTAAGTTTAAAGACATTTCTCCTTACCCTATCACTATCACGCAGTTTAAACAGTTACACCCCCTCCTGCTTATGAGCTCCCTTCAAGCACTGCAAGGCTGCAATAAGATCTCCCTACAGCCTTTATCACAATAACATTCACCTGCTGCAAATAAGGAGAGCTGTGGAATTAAGATTATTGCTTTTTACCTTACACTGGATCCAGCTCCATCTCTGCCAGCTCACTCAGTCCCACAGAATTCACACTGAGCTGCACCCACTGCAGCTCCTCCAAACGACACGGGTAAGATAAATACCCTACAAATGAAAATATTACGGTAACAGGCTGGCAGCAACTCTCACCTTTTGATGACAAACACCAAACCACTCTCACGGCCTTCTCACCGCCTCCTGAGCACACAGGGAGCCCCGCCAAGGGCCTCATGCTGCTCTTCTCTGCGTGCTGCCGGCCTCCAGCACGGCAGGGCCAGGCCGGACCCAACACAGCCATCGAACCGCGCCAGGACATTTCCGACACCTCGTTTCAGCAGCCCGCCTGGCCAAAGATACGAAAGAACGCACTTCTTATTGGCAACGCGGGCCCTCGGCCGCACAGAGCCGGGCTTCGCGCGACCCTTCCGTTCACCGCACCGTTAGCAGCTCGGCAGCGCCTTTACGCAGAGGAAGCCGCCCGGCCTGGGCCTTCACAGCACCGCCACCGCCTCCTCAACCGGACATCGCCTCAGCTCAGCACCGTACCGCACCGAGCCCCCACCGCCCCCCCCCCCCTCCCCACAGCGGCACCTCCTCCTACCCTCACAGGGCGCCCCCTCCCCCGCCGGCTCCGCCCTGCCCCGCGCGCCTGCCCGCCCATTCCCCCCCCACCCGCCGTCGGCCCGCGCGCCATTCCCCTCAGCCACCCCTCTGCCGCCCCGCTCCGCACCTTTCCCTCCCTCCTGGCTGCGCGCCCCTTCCCCGGGCGGCTCCGGCTGTAAGCGCCGCTCCCCGCCCCTGGGCGCCTCCCCCAGGATCCGGCAGAGCGGCGGGGGGAGAGCGGTGAGGGGGGGAGCACGGCGCGCCCCAGCCCCACCGCGGAGCCGCGCCGCTCCTTCCCCATCAGCCACCAGCACGGAATGATCCTCCGCTCCCAGCCGGGCTGTCCCCCTGGCCGGCTGTGCCGCTCCCCTATTGGCTCCCACCGCGCCTCGCTCCCTCCTATTGGCTGCAGCCAAGCGGCCAGGCGAGGCGATTGGCTGGATCGGCCGTCCATCAATCCGGAGCCCCCACCTCCGCAGTTATCAGGTTAGTGTTCGCCGCGGCGCTGGGGCTCGGGATTCCGAGCGGCGCTGGTTGAGCCCTCAAAGTCCCTCATTACCGCGCGGGCTGAGGGGGGGTCTGCGGCGGTGTCACCACACGGAGCGGAGCCGGGGACAGCGAGCGCCTCCCGCCAGCCGCGGCCATGGACATGAAGAAAAGGATCCACTTAGAGCTGCGGAACAGGACGCCCTCAGATGTAAGCAAA